AGAGCTATAAACATTAAGCCGAAAGAGTCCAGTGACAGGAATTTGTCATATAAGCTCACAGTTGTGTGGATGTGATCGATTGGAACTACATTGAAGACATAATTGTCAATTAAATCACAATAACAAAACAATCATTTAATAACCAATACCTCAGGCACTTGTCTCTTTCCATTTACTTCTTCACTCCCCCAAACAGGGTACATCTATAGATTAAACTTGAGATGATGCCTATATACATTGCTGAACGATACCTGTTTCCTACACTGTCATTTGGTTTGAAAAAGCCTCAGGCAATTTTCTTAAAACTACTTCTTCAACCCCTCAACACTTGTTAACTGTAAGGCACGCATGGAGGTGAAATTACTCCTTCACTCCCTCACACTTGCCGGACTGTACAGCTGGGAGGTGACAATTGGAGCGACATGTGTATTACTCACCAACCAAAAACAATCGTTTCATGATGACCACAACCACAGCACTTTTCTTTAAATTTCTTCTTCAACATTCCTCAACTCGCTACTTAGCTCTGCATGGATGTTACCTTGGAGCGCATGTGTATTACATCGTTCCATGACGACCACAGCAACAAATAGCCTCAGTCGCTTTTTTTAAAATTACTTTCTTCACTTCAATTTTTGTGGGTTGGGTAGTCGCTAACGGTATATGCTTGTAGGTGAAACTTTGTAGCGCATGTGTGTGGCTTTGTTTGCTATGACTACTAAACAACAAATATCCTCAGGCACTTTCTCTAAAATTACTTCTTTTCCTCCTCAAAACTCGCTACGGTATCAAACCTGGAGCTGAAACTGTACGTAATGTTTTACATCGTTTCCATGACAAACCACAACAACAAATAACCTCCGCACTTTTCTTTAAAAGTTTTTCATCACCTCGTCAACACGCAAATTATAGCATGCATGGAGGTGAAACTGGTGCTCATGTGTGTAACATTGTTGCCTGACGACCACAACAACAAATAGCCTCAGTGGCACTTTTCTTTAAATTTTTTCATCTTCCTCCTCACTGCTAACTGAGTACACATGAGATGAAGTGGTAGTTTGCATGACGGGTTTTTTCTGTTGTTTTTTTTTTTTGGGGCCTGCCCTTGAATATCGTAGTATTATTAAAATGGTGTAGAAAATTAAATTAAATTCCTGCGAATTTAAAAAGAGGGCATATAGGGATGGTATAAATGAAAGGGAGACAAGATAGGGATGGGATACATGAAGCCTGGGTATGACAGATTTCATATGCTGACAAACAACACGCATCACACATCCCTATATGTGTGCGAGGTGAAGTATTAAAAACATTCACCAATCAATACTCAGAACTACAAGACCACTACTGAGTAACCAACCCCCTTATAGAGTCCAAGTGGAGTTAAAAGCATTGGCCGTAAATGTACTACACCCACAGATCACGTGAAAGAAACGCTTGATTTAGCCCCTATAAGATTATCACCCCATGCACTCAATTGGGAGGTACGTATAAGAGCACCACACACATCATGCAACCAATACCTGATTGTGTGATGGGGTAGGGGTGGTCCAGCTTCATGTATCCCATTCCTATCTATGTCTCCTTTCTTTTGTATAGATAACCATCCCATATTATGGCCTTTTTTTTAAATTTGCAGGTTTAAATTTTATTTGTTTCTATATGTAGTACTTATATACCATATACCACGTCTACTGCGTGTTATAGCAAAAACCCTACTGAAATGTGTTGAAACTCCCGAGGTGCGAGCACATTCCTGAGGGTTTTGCGGAAACAACCCGCAGTAGCGTGGTTAAGAAAAATTTTATTATATACCATGGTAACCGATTTGCGCATCATTTTCGGACCATATTTGGGCCTCGCTTTGGACCCTCCGCATTTTTAGCTCCAGGGTCGATTGGACCGAATGCTCGTTCCTCTTTGACGATTGCATCAAAACCAACCAACAACTACAGCCAAGGCAAAACAACAGCAAAGAGGTCAAAACAGCACCAACCAACCCTCAAAAGCAAACCCCCAGCCAAATGCCACCACTGCAGTGCATCCTTGCAAAGTTATGCATATGAGAAGGTTATGAACCCCTAGAACTATCTGCGGTTCAGTCGCCTTCTCTGCCGAGTCAAGAAGTGGTAAACTGACTGTGTACAAGACTGAATACTAATTCTTAGCGGTCAGAAAAATGTAGGCAGAAGATAACCTGGAAACGAGTGGTTTCACCATGTATGTAATCTACCCACTGATGCTTCGTGCATGCTAAATTTCGCTACTATGCTAGAAAGAACGAAGCTAACCTTCTGTACTACGAGCAGCTCATCACATCACACGGCCGTTTTCCAGGAGAAAAGTCTAGGAAGTTCTAGGACAGTACTCAACGTGCGTCCGATTCACTTCCTGTACAGGATATCCTATATATTCTCCGGTAGATATGTTTGTTGGTTATACTGATAAACTGTGGGCGCGCCTTTGAAAATATGCGCAACCGTGGTATAAACCATCACTACGGTCCTCCTTTCAAAAACTTTGCATGGTTCGTAACCCCTACGAACAATGACAACAGGCGTATTATAAGGGTTTGCTGCTTTTTATATCCGCGACGCATGCATGGCCTAGCCACCTAGTTCATCGTGTGTGTTAGAGCAACACAAAAAGTCCCTCCTCCTCCTAGAGCGAGAAGTGGTGCTATGTGCCTCAAAGTTCCTTGCCAGCGGCCCAGTTTTAAAACAGGTACAGTAAGAATAGAATCTATATCTACTCTACTCACGGTTCTCGTATGACTGGCTCCGGGGGACTACGGCACTCAATACGTCGTCGGCATTTTTAGTTACCACACACGCACGTGGAAGGGCATGATCCTTACATGGACCCGTACTGCGGAGAAGACGCGCAGCAGCGCGCGGTTTATCTGTAGTGAGAGAGAAAGAAGCAAAACGAAAAATGGCCCACGCACTTTTCACTCACTAATGCCTCTAGCCTTGTCTCCAGCCGGCCAGTCAGACTCAGACTGCCTGCGCGAAACGAGTGTTAGATACGCGCTCAGCAACCTGCGTGTGCGCCGAGGCTGCGGATATCGCTGAAGCGCGCAGTTTGGGCTAGTGGTGTGAGTGGAGCGGAGTGTGAGAGCGACCTACCGGAGGATGTTAAAACGGTGCTTGTTATGAGTATCAGAAGACACTCGAGGCTGCTGTGTCGTGCGGTGGTGAGAGGAGTGGAGGCCATGGAAAACTGCTTGGGAGTGATGTAAGTTCTTGTGTGAGTTGTGATATTTTTTGGACGCTGTGGTGGCTAGTCGATATCGCTCTTGCAAAGTTATGATCTATCGAAGCGAGCGGTTGGTAAACCTATGTAGGCATGATGCGTTGATTGCCCTTTCCTACATAGCTTAGAGTTTAGAGTAAATATACATAATGGCGTAGAAAGTGTGCAATGCTTACCGCTAATCATGTCAGGAGGTAAACGCACATTTCTTCTAGCACAATTGAACTGTGTAACAAACACAACCACTTTTCACACACGTGCCCGTTGTCCTATACCCACTTCCCCGCTAATACACAAGACACTGACTGCAGTTCCTCAGCTCCAGATGGTAGAGAGGGTCTCAGCTACAGTTCGCCTCTAGCTACCTATACAACAGGCCAAGCAGCCTCTAGAACAGGCAGCCATGGAAACAACACCCTCTAAATGTCACCCGTATCGTCATAAATAATTATTTGTGGCTGACTTTCATCTAGGTCTGTCTAGGCGCTCAGACTTGACGGAATCTGTGGGGGTGTGGTCTATGACCCGGGGACTCTACTCTGACCTAACACTAGCCGACTCAGCTAGACTGCCCTCGACTAGGCCTACATAGCTGACCTAAGCCTAGCACTAGAGTGTTTGGCCGAAAAGCGAGAGAAGAAGCGACTGTGGCTAATTGCTGAGGCTGTTACAAACGTTTATATGAACAAACTTTTATAAGCAGTTATATGGCACAAATAGCATCTACACAAACAAGCAATGGGCTGTTGTGGAGTAAACGAGTAATGGGGATTTGCTGCTCATGAGCACTAAAACGAGGGCTCGTAGGAGAAGGAGGGGAGACAGTTGCGGTAGAGGGTTTGGCAAGAATCAGAGAGGCCAGTGGGGCAAGGAGGGGTTGGATTTTGGTTCGGGAATGCCTGTAGATGGGGAACTTGTTAGTAGATGTCAGGTATGAGGGTGATGCTACGTGCTCTATTTTGTGAGAAACCAAGTGACGGTGGGTGTGGATGGACCCGAGATTTTAATGACAAGTGGATGCTACTGATGTTATTTCTGGTCTGGGTGGTTGCGGCGCGCTCCTTGCCTACGCTCTACTGCGTGTGGTTTTTGTCCTGGTAGGCCGTTAGTGTCTGAGCTCCACACCAACCACTTTGTACCCACCCGATGAGGGTGGGGCTATGCAAGCAGGTGTGCATGGCGACTATTCTTTTCTTTTGTATAGAGCCAGCACATGCTGAAACCCATATTCTCAACCTCTCTCTGTTTTGGTGGAGGAGATTGTGATGACGGTCCTGCGAAGTCTACTGTCACGTCTTTCTTTCGGCGAGAGGCTGTGGACCAGTCCCTGTGCAGACATTCAGCCGAATAACGTACCATAGTTCCTCATGAGGTGGATGGTCTGCTCTCGTCTCCCTGAAACCTTTCACATTCCATGGCTTAGAAACTCGGCATCCAAATACATATACGGAGCTCTTTTACTCTGCACTGACTATGAAGATCATTAGGGACATACCAGATTTCAAAGATCCATTGGGCTGTCGCAGAGTGCAGCATAGTGCCCTCACCAACGAGGTCCAGGGACACTACAAACGCGGAGGCCCTCGATGCAATTCGGTATGTCCCTTGCACTTGTACCAGGCATACTATGCTATACCAAGCATCGAGTTTGTTGCTTTCATGTAGATTGATGACAAAGTGACGCAAGAAGTTGTTGTGGCGGCAAACCCCACGTGATGCTATTATGAAAGCATTTCGTTCTATATTCCCCTTCAACACATTAGAGGAGGCGGCGACTGGAAAATTTTGAGCCTCTAATTCATGTTTTGGCCTTGTCGTGGAGTGGATGTGTGAATGAAGGACAGAGTGTTACTCATGCCATCTTATTCAGACCTAAACCCTTTGAAGTGGTTATGTTACACATTACCTGTCTAGTTATTGTTATAGTTTGCCTACGATACAAAAATTATATTCCAAGCTGTGTCTCTATGAAGTGCAAAAATAAATAAGTACCATGAATGTGACCTGCTACGGAAAAGGGATCATCGTCGTTTGCCAGACTTTCGAGATACGAGTTGTAAATTGGTTCAGTTTAGGACCTTTCAACACCAGGGATAAAAAGCACAACGTGTGTGTGACTACATTTGCTTGCTCCAAAGAAAACTCTCTGCGCAGTCTAAGATGAAGTATGACCGTGCAAACTTGCTCCAGGACACGCACGCGTATGTGAGTGAGAGTATACTGTGCCACAGTACGGTGTTTGAGGTTTGCCTTGTGCTGTGTTGTTGTGTAGATAGTCGAACCCCTACCAGTGGTAGCATCATGTTGGTAGAGAGTACAGTGTCATGGGTGCGAATCCCACCCAGTGCAGCTCTTCTTCTTTTCAAAAGAAGGAGCTCTCCTGCGGTGTAGATTGAGCTGTTGGTTGCCGTGCTGCCTTTCTACCACCTCGCGACACAAGTTGTTGAGACATGTCGATCAAAGGAAACACTCAACCTTTGGCATTTTCTAGGTCCTAACAAACTGTTTGGTCATACCTGTAAGGTACGTTGCATGCAATCTGATCGACGTGTGTTAGATCAGCCTGTGGAGCTGACAATGAGAAACTATTTTCACGCGAATTGGCCCTTTTCCCTAGCAGATCACATAAGTTAGGCATTATGGAATGCAAAGCAGAATGTGTGACTATTTACTTTCTCTGATGTTCCCATCTCAAGTCCACCACATGGCTCTGAGTGAGCTCTAATGAGGGCTTATGTGTTGGCAGGTGGAAGATCCCTCATGTTATTTATGACGAGTAAGTCAGGTCCGTTTGTAATAATGCGCTCCTACTCCCGCTACCAGTATGTTTACACCTCGTGATCATTGCACATTTGACTGCCCTGCATGCTGTGTAAACATGCACATGTGGTGGGGAAGGCCTAGGCACGGTATCACTAAATGGGGTAGTTCGAGCATCGGTAGACGATATATAAGGGATGGCACGGGTAAAATCTCACATGATCCACATAATACATACATATGTCTCAAAACTCAGCGAAAATGACTCGCTATACCATCTAAAATCTTAAGCAATAGTCTACGGGCCAATATTTAGCAATACAGATTCTCTACGTGCCCTCTGTTCTCCACGTGAGAATTCGCTCATACGCAATTTCACGATTTTCGTCATTATCATATTCTTCTTCTTAAGACCTACTACCATTTCCTTACCTGAACCTCTGCTGATTTTTACACTAATCATCTCCAGGTTCCACAGAGTTGTGCATGGCCAACTATGGTCTATAGTCACTATAAATGCTAGCTTCTAATGTGCATGGCGCAGGCAATGCTGAACAAGTTGAATCAGTTCAATGTCAGTTCCATGAACATCAGAGTTGACGGTAATAAATAAATGCCGTGTAGTCAGAACATATCTTATACATATATATATATATTATAACATATATTATATATCTTTGTTCTATTGATTAATAGGCAGACAAAGATGTAGGGATGGTGTCATGTAGCTTTGTGTGTCTTAGCTGTGTAATGGCCCCTTGTTCTTTCCCTTTTTTCATGTTTTGCCATCCCTATGTCCATTCATTTTGAAGAAATGATTATTCCACTTTATAACGTATAGTCTTGAATATCCATAATCAGATGTGCATGATTTGTTTGTAAAAAGTTTGTTTACGCCCAAGCAATACATTTTAATATGGGGTACTTATGTTTAGTGTAACTCACAAAATGGTAAGGGCTATGTAAATGAAACTTTGCATACATACTTACAATCACCAGCATCATTACATCTAGCCTTAGGCATTTTGCTGTATAAATACTTCTTTACTCCTCAAACTTGCTTATGGTAACACGCATGGAGATAACGAAACTTTGTAAATATACATCGTTCCCATGGAATTTCATTTGGAGACATGTTTGTAAACAACAACAAATAGCTTCAGGGACTTTTCTACATTTCGCTCATCAATATTGCTAACTGTAGTCTGCACCTCACAAGATTTTTCGTATGCATTTACAGGACGTTTGATTTACATGTGTGTGACAATAAGGTAGTCTATGAATAATTTTTAGGAGGTTTGCCCTTTTTTGTTTAATAGTAAAATGAGAGGAGAAAAGGATATAAATTATTCCTTCTAATTTTAATGGTTTATAAGGGAAAGGAGGCAAATAGGGATGGGATATACGAAGCATTGTTTATGAACAGATTGTGAGTACCCTCAAGTTCATCATGCAATCCCTATTATTTTCTATGTGAAGTGTGAGATGTAGTTCATATGTATATCCGATCCCTATCTTTACTTTCTTTATATACCACCCCGTACATACTTCTGCTTTTTAAAAGATTAGTAAATTTATTTGTTGTCTCCTGCTATTCTTTCTGTTAGGCGGGTGTCTACTGTAACTGCAGCACATGAGTTACCCGCCATTGCAGAAGAGGCTTTATTGCTTTGGCTTTCTAAAGTCTCTGAAGCCGTTATGTGTACCCGAAAAGATAAAATCTTTGAGGTAACAAAAGGTTCTTGCGCCGTTGTTGTTTCCATGTGTGGATATTTTGTTTTACTCAACTGAATGAACTTTTGAGGCAAGTAAATGTCGATATTCAATATTACATGTGTATGCACCGTTACATTTTACAGTGTGTGTGAGCGTGTACATGCGCATTTGCTTGTGTGTGTGTGTATTTTTCTATTTGTTTCACTGGTTGTGCACTCAATGAAAGTATTGGGTACTGCTTTTATTGGCTGCAGTGTAAGTGCAAAGAAACCAACACCATAAACGAGATAAAGTGACTACATACACTGTGTTGCTTTTCCCACAAAGAATCATACACAGCCATTTAGTGAGGGTTTTCCACTTCAGTGCTTTATTAACCCTCGGCACACATTCGCAACAACAGTTACAGTGCTTGGTTTATCTGTAGGTGTTGACTCTCTGTCTGTTTTTCTATCCTGGCACTATGAGAGTGATACCAACTGCATCAGGGATTGATATTGTAATGGTGGTTGTACTAAAACCACGGCATTCGAGAGCAGGGATGTTAAACGCAAGCAAAAAAGCCAGTATGCTAGTGAACAATGGCTTACCTAGACCAGTAATTGCCAGCTCAATGCATTGTGGGGGGCACGAAGTTACTTGGAGGACAAGCATTGAACACTACTCACTGATGCTCTATGTCCGCATTAGATCGAGAAATTTGATATTGCCAGTGACCGCTCTGGCACAGGCTGTCAATGGGTGCATGAGATGAGAAAAAAGAGCTGATGTGGGTGTAGTTGATTTGTTTGTTGTGCCTTGTGCCTTTCACCTCGTAGGTTTCACATGCATATACTCAGTTTTGAGTTTGGCGTCTTTGGTGGTTTAATTACCCCGGTCTGCTCCCACATACTGAGTGAGAGTATACTGTGCCATAGCACAGTGGTTTGATGTTTGCTTTTGTCTTGTGTTGTGTAGATTTCAACCCCTACCGGCTGAGTTTCCCTGGTAGCTCAGCTGGTAGAGCGCTCTCCTAGACTGCAGTAATGGGTTCGAATCCCACCTAGGGCAGCTTGGCTCTCCTGGGTGTAGTTGATTTGTTTGTTGTGCCTTTACCTTTCTACTGTACCTCGTAGTTTTCACATGTGTAGTATGTACACAGGCAGAATGCTGTATGCTGCTTTCTGCCGAGGGTTTACACTTAGTGCTTTTCTTATTCTGAAAGCAACATAAAATGTGTTACCCAGTTGTTTGTAAAATTCTGTATAATGACTGCAAGTATATCTCGTGAAATTTAGGTATTCGTCTGCAAATATGATCTGTTAATCCTCACATTAGGCCTCTTGGTCTGTTATTTGTATTACTAGGAATGCGCACGCGCATATTTTGCCTCGCGCCTGCCAGCCAATGCGTAAACACTCGAGCGACTGAGGCCGCTCGTGCGCCCGCTCTACTGACTGCGCGCGAAGCCAGACTTCCTACGAATGACGGAAGTTACACTTCCTTTTGGTGACTAATTGACATTCCTAAGCATGACTAATTGACGACGTACGTACGTACGCATATCGCGAGAATACAACCCGGAGTAGTTGCCTCACGCTAACGCGCTCGGCAATTATTATGCACGCTTCAGTATTGCAGTGACCTGTTGTTATTTTTATAGAAACATTCTAATCCGCTGCAAGAACGATCGCAGCAAGTTGATAGAGTAATTGCTCGACCAAATGGGCTTTTTGAGGCTGTAACTGGAGGGCAAAGTCTTCCTGCACTTTTAGTGCATTATCATCAGCAGGATTTTAAATTTAAAGGTGCGTACCATGTATTATAACTTAGTTTCCCATAATTCTGGGAAGGTGTATGAACCACACATCTACAGTGAGATGTGAATTGAAGAAGGCCTGTACATACCTTGGGTTGTACATGTTTTTACCACTAGTAGTCGAAACAGGCAGGCAGGCAGTTAGCCAGCCTGACCGCAGACAGCCTCACCGACAATATACATAATAAGTACTATAGCATATGCGGGTCCTTCGCATGCGTGGACCTGTGTGGTGTTTCTTTTTTGCTCTGCATTTCAAGCCTCCTTTATTTTGGTTTTTGCCTGGAGTTACTTCTAAGGGAGGAGAAAGCTTCTACCTGCAGTTTATTGTTGGTGTCAGCCGTCAGTTCAAATTCTACCGCTATTTAATGCACAGTCCTGCGAGCAATGCCTTTTTGAGTGCAGAACTCCTACGAAGGAATGTTGTAACAAGCGCTTTAGAGGAATGTGGGGAATTTCTGAGAGCCTAATTAAAGCTTGCCTGTATTTTGCTTGTTTGCTTTGTGTGAGGTAGATTTAGACTGGTGCAGTTTCCTAGAGACACAGCAGGGACCTTGGCGCAAGGATGTAGTGTGGCAAATTTCAGCACTTAGATGAGTGTACAATGCTATACTGAAGCCTGGAAGTTTCCAAAGGAGGGATCAATTTTTTCCACCGTGGACACTTCCATTTTAGTTGGGGGACCAACGTGTGACACACCTCGCGTAATTGGGGGGTTGCCGGGCCAACAAATGTGACCAGAAGTCATTGTATCTAAGGCTTTCTAGCTCACTTGTCTTTAATTAAGGCAGAACATGAACAAAGAACACCACCCAACTATCGTGTACTGCCGATTGCAATGAACCATGGCAAACAAAGAAGTGCTACCACTTACACACAGTACTCACATATGTACTTTGGATCCTACCATCATCGGATAGTCTGGTGACACGGGTGAGAAAGAGGAAAACAGACTTCTCTCTGGAATTGAACTAAGGCCCAATGTATTGCATACTATGTATAAGCACTGAGCCACAACTCCTGCACAAAGGCCATACTAATGCATTCATATCATGCACTTGACGATATCACATGCCACCCTTACGTAACTAATACCAAATTAACAAACATTTTTGTATAGAAGCAGAGGAACAGAGCTTTCTCTATCTAACCTTTACAGATTTTCACTTCCAAGGAACCCACTTAACATGTGAGGAAGCACTTGAGAACACCATAATATTTGCCAACTTTGCTCGAAGAAAATTTCCATTTCATATCAATCCAGAAGTGCTTGTTTGCCTGGGCACCGACCCTTTACTTCATACCAATGTGTTAGCTTTGCTAGCAAGAATGTTTGCATATTTTGAACTGAGTAGCACTTCTCAAACTGAATCGGTTAGACGATCAAAGAAATCAAAGCCCTTCTCTCAGAAAGATGATTTTATTGGTTCAAGTTCAGTGAAGGAAAAGGAAATGGGTGAATTCCACAATGAACCTCTCCTTCCTCTTAGAATGAAGTGTATCAGATCACTAACAAAAGATAACAAAGGTTTGTGTTCGAAAGTACAGTGCCAGCAATCAAACTCATGTGTTGTGAGCACTTCAGCGTCTGGCATGTTTCCTAGTCCATCTGCCTCCAAGCTGAATGTACCAATGGTAGAGGCTAAATCTGACATAAAGTTGAAGAGGAAAGGGGTAGTAGCTAGTGGGAAACAGTTGTCCGAAGATTCGAAAAAGCTGCATCTAGGAAATAGTGCACCTTACTCTAGGCACAAAGAGTGGGCTGTTTCGTTAAAAAACTCAAAAGATATTCCAATTAGAGATGATCTTGAAAGAAGCTTTACTGTGGATAAACAACACACAATTGATTCTGCAACTAAAGCAGGACTGCCTATTATTGAGAACAGTGACACACTATTGCCTACAGAAGAAAGTACAGAATGTTTACACAATGGTCGGAGCTTAGTTCAGGTCCTACCACAGCCTGGATCGTCTCTGATATCTCAGGGCCGCCTGCTTTACATGTCCAATCACGTGTCAGTATACACTGCAGATGCTCCTGGAGAAGAGAAGGTTAATTTTGAACACTATTTAATGAGAACTATGCAGGATCTCGAAGGAAGTTTGGGTGGGTGCAACATAAAGAGTTTATGGAGGGAGAGGCTTAAAAATAGACAGAAAAGTTGTGCAGCTTCTCTGCCTGTACCATCGTATACAACATATAAACCAACTCTTACTACTGTCTCACAAAATGTTGACGTACAAACAGCTTCAGTAACCATGCCACCACTAACTGCATCCACAGTCATCCTCCAATGTCCCCAAAATCCTGGAAAAGGCATTGAAAATCCTCCCAATTTGTCAGGAAATCCATGGCTACCTGAAGAATCTCGGATAATACTCTCTCCCCCCCATAAAAAGGTGATGTATTGTTACCACATGTACACAATACCAGCTGAGTTGCCCGTGTGAGCGCTCACCTAGACTGCAGAGTGTCTTGGATTCGAAACCCACCCAGGGCAGCTCTTCTTTTCCTTGAAAAGATAGAGCTGTCCTGGGTGTAGTTGACTTGTTTGCTTTGCCTTGCCTTTCTACCTCGCTACCTAGTTGTTGACACATACGTACACCTGATTGTGTAGGACCAGGAGTGCATGAGCTGCTGAAGAGAAGAAGAGCATGAAACACCAAGTGTCATAATTATAAAATACTATTTACTACCTAATTCACCCGCCTTCTCAATCCTGTGTACCCATTAGCCAGGTTGGGTATTTAGCATTTTCTTGCCCAGGACATTGCTTAATATCTTGGTCATCACACTCCATTAGCAGATCCACCAATGGAGCAAATGTCATAAGAGCAATCTTGTGTTTCAGATAATATATTTAGCCTCCTCTTGTCTTCTAGCTGTTGAGATTTGCTCGTCTAGTACATAAATTTCCATGCTTTAACCTTCTCTAGCAATTTCTGCTTCCACAAAAGCATCTTGTTAAGTTATAGACTGTTCATACTGTTGTAGTTTCTTAGTTCGCTTTTTTGAAAGAGGCCTTAATACAGGTTTAATGCACAAATTTCCTGTGAGTATGTCAGTCCACTCACTTTTCACTTACAGAACAAAACATTCCTTCTATGCACATAAGTGTGACATTGTTCTATGTCGTTTTTATTTCTGGTTCAACAGGAGCTTCAGGCAAAGCACCACCATTTGCTCCGAGAAAAAATTGAAAAACGGCTGAAGGATGGGAAAAAGGCCCTAAGGGACAAGAGAAGAGAAAAAATCACCCAAAGGTTAGTTAGCAATAAAATGTTTTTGCACCTGTCTTTTTGAGCTAGTATTGTTTTTTTTGTTGTTTGAGCATTTCCAGTCGCTTGATAGTTTCAGGAAAGCATCCTTTATATTGGGTAGTGAACTGTGGGAGGATAAATTTGGTTCTTTGCTTGGCCTTGTTAAAGTTTTTATTTTGGATGTTTGGGAGCTAAGAAAGGTTAGGTTATACGGCGATAGTCCCCGCGTACAACAAACCCAGTCTCAGATTGCGTCTGGGGAGCTGCAGGGTGTCGCTGGTGGAAGGGGTGAGTTGAGGTGTCTGAGAGGTGAGACAGACACCTCATGTTCATATGGTGTATGTTCGTTTGTTAACGGTTCCGCCCATTGCTCTGGGCGCGTGGTCTATGGCCCTAGTGCTATGGCAGCCACCTGAGTATTATTATTATTATTGTTTTTTTTTATTGAACCTTATGGTAAATATGTTGTACTTCACCTGAAGTCTATTCTTGTTCACTTAAGCCCTGGAAGTGTCTGTATACACTGTTTGTACAGGTATACATCCCTACATAGAGCGTCTACCAACGCTCTGATATATACCTTGTGCTTTACTTGTGAGATTTCTTATGGGACATAAAGCTTAAGTTATGTGATACGCTCTCACGTTTAGTGAAGGATATCATCAGAATCGGAAAGTTCCAATGGTGTTGACATTTTACAAATGAAGGAAGTTATGACAAGGGCTAAAGTGAATTTTCAAATAGACGGTACAAGCACACTCACATTGTGTTCATAATTAACCCTCAGCACACATTCCAAGTGAAGGTTAAGTTGTCTGGCTGTATCTGCTACCACTGTTCTGGCAGGCTAAAATGCAGGAGATATTAGTAGTACGTAGATATGGAAGGTGATTTACTGAAACTAGTGCATTATCACTAAGTACTTAGTATAGGGATGGATTTGGTACCTAGCATCATAGATGTATGGGGCTATGATAGGGAGTCTTCTTCTTCTTAAACCAGCATAACTCAAGAACCAAAACTGATAAATACATTCGCACTTTGCACTTCGTGGTTCGCACTTCGCACTTCCTGGTTCGCGGTTCGCGCTTCGTGAGCCAGCACTCCCATAATTTTGTGCCTCTAGTTTCTCGTTCGTACTTCGCACTTCGCGGTTCGTACTTCGCGGTTCGCGGTTCGTACTTCGTGGTTTGCAGTTTGCGCAGGGCAGCGAGGACGGACATACGTCACGTAACGTGAAAAACTCGGCGTACGACAGCCATGTATGGAGAATCAAGGGAGACGCCTCGCCTTACCCCGCAACAACCTATAAAAGCTCTTCGTTAGATTCCAGATATCTCGTCATTTCCACCTAGCCCCTACATTCCTGCGGCACTGTTCGCCATTGAAGCTGGCGTACAACGTGTGAGGGGCGAACCGCAATACCTTGGGCGTCTTCTATACCTCCACTTAGGCTTATCCGCCACGGGTGAAGCCGCAGGAAGGTAGGGGCTAGGTGGAAATGACGAGATATCTGGAATCTAACGAAGAGCTTTTATAGGTTGTTGCGGGGTAAGGCAGAAAACCGAGGCGTCTCCCTTGATGGATTTGGTACCTAGCATCATAGATGTATGGGGCTATGATAGGGAGTCTTCTTCTTCTTAAACCAGCATAACTCAAGAACCAAAACTGATAAATACATGGAATTTTGTAGGAATGTACATATCGATAACCACATGTGCAACGTCATAAAATTAGCAATTAAATTCCTCAGTGCTTATACGCAAGTGGTCCATTGGTAAGAGCTGTGTGAACGAAAGTTTGTATTCATAATGTGTTCAATAGCCAACATCATAATCACAATAATACATGTTACAAATAGCCTCAGGTACTTTTCTTTAAATTTATTTCTTCACTTCTCAAACTCTTTCCAATGGTAGCACGCAGAGATGAAACTTGGTATGTATACCATTATATCATTTCCATGACAATTACATGTTTCCATGACGACCACATATTGTTTGAAAAAGCCCCAGGCAATTATCTTTAAAACTACTTCTTCACGCCTCAAACTTGCTAACTGTAGCACGCATGGAGGTGAAACTTTGTGCACATATGTATTACATCATTTCCATGACGACCACAACAACAAAAAGCCCCAGGAACTTTTCCTTATAACGACTTCTTCACTCTTCAAACTCACTAATAGTACCACGTATGGAGATGAAACTTGGTACGCATGCGTAACAACCACTTTGTTTGAACAACAACAAGTAGCCATCAGGCAATTTTCTTACAAATATCTTCTTCACTTCTCAAACTCGGCAGCATGCATGGAGATGAAACTTGGTACACGTGCATATTACTTCATTTCCATGAGAACTATATGTTTCTATGACGACTACATATAACTTCAGGCACTCCTCCAACTTGCTAACGGTAGCACACATGGAGATGAAACTTCATATGCATGCATGTTACATCATTTCCATGACAACTTCATGTTTCCATGACGACCACATATTGTTTGAACAACATCAAATTGCTTCAGGACCTCCTCACTCCTCAAACTTGCTAATGCACTAGCACTCATGGAGATGAAACCTGCTATGCATGTGTATTACATCATTTCCATGACGACAACAGGCTTTTTTCTCTAGTATTAATTTTTATAGGGGGCTTGCCCCCTTCCACAGAGATAAACGTAGTAGTATATAAAAATGAGTGAGACAAATAAATTAAAAATCCTGCGAATTTAAACAAAGAGGCATATAGGGATTGAAAGGGAGACAAGATAGGGATTGGATATGTATGAGGCATGGTTATGAACAGATTTGAGCAGGCTGACACCCCAACCCCATCACACAATCCCTATATTGTTGCATAGGTGAAGTATTAAACATTCACCATTACAATACTCAGAACTTACAATACACTACTGAGTAGCCAACACCCTTCTAGAGTCCAAGTGGAGTTTAATTAAAGGGACTGTGGCAGTATAAAAGTAGAAATGTTACTAAAAACAACGGGGGGACGGTGAAAGAATGCTTGCTTTTAGTAATCTTTAGCCCTTATATAATGCCACATTCCCTATACGAGTTGCACACCAGGCAACAATATAGGGATTGTGGAGCACAAATTTACTCAAAAGAGGAGTATCTAGTTAAGCATAGCTCGAAATGCTACTAACTACTGTTAGCCTGTGCTAGAGCAAGGAACTGACTAACACATGGTGTTGTGCCAAAATGACTTGGAGGACGATTAACAATCCCAGTATTGCTTCACTGATTTTTCTAGCCTGCATTAGAGCGAGAATCTGACATCATCTGTACCCTGTTGCATGGCCCAGCCCAGCCTATCAATTAGTGGCATTTTTGCATATGTGTAGTGCAGGCCACTGCTACTCAGTGTGAGTATTGTTTGCGCCAACAGTTTGCACTTTAATGCTTTTGTTTGCCCTCGGCACACCTGTGGAGTGAGGTTTACAGTACTCAGTCTGTCGTCTGTTTGTGTGTGACCTGCCACCATCTCCAACAGCAGCGGCCAAGAAGCGATACCAACATGTTTAGTGTTAAATGTGATTTTCGTAAAATTACTGTGTTTTAAGTCATGACGTAAAATCCAGCATGCTAATGAGCAATGGGTTACAAGTTCTCCTCAACTGTTGAGGCATCAGGCAGTTACACAAAGGGCGAGTATCCGGTCCAGTGTTACATATTATTAACCCTCGGCGTGCATGCGCAGCGAGGGTTATTGTACTTGGTCTGTCGGTCTGTCTATCTGTCCGCGCGAGTTCTCGCACTACAGGCTACGAGGCGGCCAATGAGTGGCACCAACGGGTTGTGAACAACGAGAACATGGATATTATTAACGAGGCGATTTTCCTGAAACGACTGCGTTCCAGAGATATGGCGTGAACACAAGCGAAAAAGGCAACGTGCATTCGATCGCGCACGTGCCCTCTCCGGCAGGCTATATAGTGCGCACGCGTCATGTCAATTTTTCGCCGGAGCATGCGCTATGCCACATTGGTTGTATGATCCACGGGCTTCTCTTTGGATAAACATGCTGAGCAAGGTATGTTCGCAATGTAGCATAATAGTTCAGGTGGCGAGCAGTTTGTGGATGCGGCCATACCTTCCCATTTATAAAACGTCTGGCGAGAGTATTGAAACACAGAAGTACGGATAGATTGAATAAAGCAAATATGAGAGCCTCTGAAACACCTGAGCGATTGCTCCAACCGCTAATTAATGCAACTACCCTGTGTTACGGTGAGACTCGTGTTACTGGCTCCGTCGATGACGCACGGCCCAGCATACAGCGATACTACAACTAGCGCGTTTAGCGCCGAGGGTTTGCACTTTAGTGCTTTTCATTACATCTGTGAAAGCGAATGAACGGGTATATGGTGTGGTCACTTTCTTAGTGCTTCTTTTGGCACGTGTATTTCGTGCAAATACACACATAATGTGCCAAACGGCTTCTTTAATGTATTTTAGCTCATTCACATAGCTCCATCGTTTCTGTTGAGTTGCAATTTCTTTGGCGTAAATACATGCGTATGATGAATACATGTCTATCCCTATACACTATTGCCTCCTTTTTAATTAGTATGCTGCCTGATAGTTCTGTGTAGATAAGACAATATTTTCGTATATTATTTCAATGTGCTTTGTTTTTTTGTGAACTCTGAGAGCTTTAATGACAGTACCCATTTTTTTCTGGAAGATGATATGAAAGAGGTTAAGTGAATAAAGTTAAGAAGACAATAATTATGTATTACTAGGTGATAACTGAAGTACTAAGCCCATAAACCACTCACCCACACCATTCAGCAGGACCAAATAGTACATGCAAATGCGGGTCTGTCTCACATCCCAGACACTGACCCTAACTCATCTTTTCCACCAGAGAGACCCACTGCAGTTTTTCAGATGCTGCCTGAGACTGGGACTGTTGAACACACACAAATGTGCACGAATTACCTTTTTAAGATTCAGCCAAATTGCATGGACATCGATAAATTTTATCACTCGGGGAACGCTACTACTAGTAGATGTTAAAGCCATGTTTAACAAGTTTATTATATTAATCCTATATACTTTCTGTATGTGAACCAGTGTGTGACCTCCTCGGGAGCAAATTCCTCCCAATTGTGTTCAGTGGTGTTCTTTCTGCCTAATACTGTACACATATGCGTATTAAAGCTACAGTCTGTAAAATGGGTTTGGCCTCGTTTAAGCATTACGTACATATTCAATGACATTTGTCATGTAGGGCTGCCCCTTTTCCCCCATAAGCCCTAATACGCTTGCGCATACCGCAGTATGCATAGATAAACCACTGCGCATGGTAGCCAAGAGCCAGTGAAATTGTGCAGAGATTTTCTCGAATGTGTGAGAGGAAGAATATGCTAATAAGGTGGTAACTCAAAAATCTGGGGAAATTATCAATCACGAGCTTTTAGCCATGCTATTAATGCTCGTAGAATTAGGGGCAAACCTTCAATTTACTGAGAGTGTTCTCCAGCATTATTGTTGGGGCTTTCGAGTTTGCAAGATGCATTAAGTAATGGTTAACCCACAGGTGCTGAACCGGTACGGGATATACCCGAAGTAGTTTTCAATATCGCCGAGGATGGTATTGAAAAATGGCTGAGGGGATATCCAGTACCGCTTCAGTGCCCGTGGGTTAACCGTTTTGTAGCACAGCAACACTGCCATTCCTAACTGCCGAATAATGGTTGTGTGGTGATACTGGAAAGCTGATTTTATCAGATAATGCATGAACATTGCAATTCCTTGGAGTCATTCTTAGCCGTGACAGAAATCATTCTGGAGTTAAAAGTTACAAAGACCACAGGCAATGGACAGAAGGAGAGAGTGAAACTGACAAAGAGCAAAGCCTGGAACCAGGAATTGTGGTTGAGGCTGTAAGACCTAGGATAGTAAGAGGAAAAGGGACATAGTGCAAAGGCTCGCTGCAGCACTCTGGAATGGGTTTTGGATGATCTTGCATTGTTTTGGGTGTCATAGGATATGTCTCCCTTTTTGTAGTTTTGTCATGTGTTCCTTGTGATATTGCTCGCTACCACTGTGCACCACGGCTCGTACGTGTATAGCCAGTACTACGTTAATAAGTAAGCCCTTTGTATAATCGTTTGTAAGGAGTCCCTTTCAGCCCAATCTTTTCTTTCGTTTTCTGTTTATGTTTTTGTTCATGAAAATAGGGTGTGTTATTGAAGGAATTCGTAATTATCTCCACTTGTGTCTATGATATTGTGAATTAAAGCTGTTATTATTTCTCATAGAGAATCTATTGAGAGCCAATCTGATTCAAGTGGTAAGCACATTTGGAATAGTTACGTATCTGTTACTTACTATTCATTTGCAGACTTATCCACAGTGCAAACCCAATTCTTTTAAAGAGTTTCGTGTACAGTATATTTACAAACTGGTGTGTGTGCTAGTGTGTGTGCCCAGAGCATAAATTATTTGTGAACAAATGCTTTGCAAAATGCATGAAATTAGTTTTACAGTACTTAATATACGTACTGCTTTAGACTGTCACATGGTAACGTACATAATGTCATTTCTTGCTCTTTCATGAGTTAGCAATGTCAGTAGGTAGTGTTTGAGCCTGCGGCTTTACAAAAAGAACTTGCTGATGCCTACACTCAAGTGGGCTTAACTTCATTGCCAATAAATGACTATCTGAAGGTCACACAGTTTAGTGTGTCAATTGTGCATACTACTGACATCTGTGAATGCTACAGACATCAGTTAGGTGTAATAGCAAATAACATCCCGAGCTGTTACTTGTGTACATTTGCATAGTGTTGCCGCAACCATCGTACTGTGTTCACACTAATGTTTTCTTCTAACTTTTAGAACAACCTTCATCCTTCATCACCCACAATGGTCCCGAGTGTTACGTGAAGCCGCCAGCCAAGTCCAACCGGCAACTAATAAAGAATGCAATCTGCCATGTGTGCTTGGCGGGGGATGTCAATCTCTCTTCCAAACAACGCGCACTCACTGTATGTTGCATTTCATACGTATGGCTATATACATCTATCATCTGGTTTCTATTCATAGGAATTGGAAACCAGCAGTGCTCTTCATTTTTTCATCCTTTTTAAGCATGTCATCAGCTTCAAATTCAGAGCCCTCTACTCCTATTCTGAAGGAAAGGTATGTACTTGTTTTTCTGTGTAATAGCAGCAATACCATCTACTATTACACTTACAGGTTTGCAAGATCTTTGGCAGTGGTCCACAAGGTGTTCAAGAATGCATGATAGACCAATTTTACAAGTAATTTACGATGCACACACTCTCTGTTCACAAGGTTTGAAGATCTTCACTGTTTTTATAACATACTTCTGCCACACAATGAAGGGGAAGGCCTGTCCTACAAAACTAAAATCAATGGAAGCAGCTCTTGGAGTGCAATATGATGGAGTAGAGAATAATTTATGAGCATACATGATTAGCTATTTGTCAACATGCGTTAAAATAACGTTACTACATAGCATTGAGTAAAACGATAGGTATACGGGTAAACCATTTTGTTTGCATATACATCTGCAGGTATAACTGTGGCTCTAAGGAATTCTCAAAGATTCACTCTTACTCTTTCTCTCTGTCTGTGGATGCCTTTACTCTAAAACAAGACGCATGGGCTTTGCGCAGAGTGTAGACATCATGAAACTGTAATTGTATGCAGCATTGTTGTTATATATGAAGTGTTAGTTATGTTCTCCATAGTTCTCTGTCTTCATGTCAGTCAGCCCAAGTTGATCATTCTGCTCTGCAGTTCTCTCATAGTAAGTCACAGTCAGGTTCTGATCTGGTTCTGGAGCACAGACATTCTGGATAAGATACAAGGGTATAACTGTAAGTAATTTGCGAAAGGGAGCTAACCAAGTCATATGAATTGCGCAGTTTTCAGTATGTGACAACAACGACAGCATACGCATGTGTGAAAATCATGCTACAGCGGTGCTTCACTCACGTGTTGCATTTACTAGTTAGTCAAAGGACTAACACAAATATGCACAGAACTTCCACCTTTTATACTCCACCAGTTTTGCTGTGTGAAGCAAGCCCACCTAGTTGTGCAGGATTTTTCCATATATCCCTCGATACGGTGACTGGACACATACCATAATGTCTACGTGATTGTAAATACGTGCAAAAACATGATCGTAACATTTGCGCTTCGCTCAAAAAAAAACAACTCAGGTTGCTGCCATAGCA